TGACTCTGTATCTTCTTTTCTTTTTCCTCTTGGACAGTTTATTGCTTTTTGATATTTCAGCTTTTCATAGATTTTATGGTTAAATCATTTATTATCCACAGATCATGTAAAAAGCAGCTTTTGGTTCAACTTTCTGAAAGACAAATCATCATTTGAATCTTGTTTTGATTTAGTTGGGTCATTTTTATCCCATGATAAAATTAGCCTGATGACCTAAAACTTAACTGGAACCAAAAGCAAAAACAGAAGCCATCTTTAAGAGTATTAGCACTTTTCACTGAGTTAAACCTCTGGTTCATTCAGATCATCTATGATCATCTATTTTTTTATTAATTAATTTTAAATCTGTTACCTTTTAAGATGTGAAAGTCTGTAAGCATTTGTTATGATGTTACCAGAATAAAGTCTTAAAATTGAGAAAAAAAATGTTGATAATAAAGAATAAAGAGGAAGTGTTATGTGAAGTCTATTAAAAAGCCGTCTTCCCTCAGCCTCCGTAAATATGCTGAATCAGGCTGAGGAGGCAGTTTGCTTCACCTTAGAACAATGGGAGCTTTGTTCTCAACAAAAATACATCTTATCATAAGATTATGAATTAACTCTCATATATTTTGGATTAATGGCAAAGCTGTGGAAGTCAGTGTAAATAGAGACAAAAATATACTGATTCTCTCTTAATCTGAGCCAACCAACCTGACAGAGCAAAAACTCTCATAACGCAGGTCTTTTTTACTTTTTAATTTTCACTGTCCTCTGCTTCATAACAAAAACTTACATTCTGCTGTGAAATAATAACTCTGTCCTCCACAATATTAAAACTTAGGTTAGTAGCAATATGTACTTATCACTAATGTTTGTGAAGTAATGCTCAATTTGTTGTAAAAAATGTATAAAACCTGAAATATAAAGTAAACATTTCTACATTTAGAGTGAATCTAACTGGTAACAATGAGTCTCTCCCTCTCTGCTCCCATTCAGAGTAATGAACACCTAAAAGTTATTTATTAACCGCTAATAAATCGGATGAAGAAATGTTTGCTCATTGTAATCCAGGGCATTTTTTAAAGGTTGGAACCTGATTTATGTACACATACTTGAGACATTTAACTCTTGCTTTAGGTGCAACTGGTTTCCTTGCTTTTAGTAAGTTAACTTTGTGTCAACTTCAACAGATGAGCAAACAGTGGGTGGTGCAGTTTGTAGCAATGTTTCTGATGTAATAGTAAAGTCTACAAAGAAAGCTTTAGTGAGTACAACAAAAAGTTCACTTTACTTATTGTTGTAAGTACAACCATTTTCATGCTATTATGAAGAGGGGGGAAAAAGATTATCTCAGGGGGTCCATAGACATGAAAATAATGTTTTTCTTAATACTTAATTGGAGTTCTTTTTTGTTAAAGAATGTAAAAATTGTTTAGTTTTAACTTGAAGTCTGCAACATTACTATTGGCCTCTTCTTGAGAGCTTCTGATCAATAACTGTTACCTTGCAAGCAAGATGAATTGAATTTTGCAAACTCTGTTAAATTAGATCTTCCAGGAGCCTGCAGATACGTTTGGCCTCAATAGAGAAATGTTTCAGACCAATGAAATGGAGGGATGGGTTTGACCTCAACACCTGAGGTGGAAGGCAGAAGCAAAACAAACATGGCTGCACCGGTGTCAACTTAAAAAAAGACTCTATTTCTATTTGGAAAAACAGTAAAACGACGCACGTGGCTGCTCAGTGGGTAGCACTGCTGCCTTGCAGTGAGAAGGTTGTGGCTTTGATTCCCGGCCTGGGGTCTATCTGCATGAAGTTTGCCTGAGCGTGCGAGGTTGGTCCGGCTTCCTACCACAAAAACATGACTAGGTGTGAGTGTTGTTTGTCTTGTTTGTCTCTGTGTTGCCCTGTGATGGAGTGCCGACCTGTCAAGGGTGAACCCCGCCTCTTGCCCGTAGACAGTTGGAGATAGGCACCCGAACCCCTCACGACCCCCACTCGGGATAAAGCATGTCAGAAAATGGATAGATTGATGGATGGAGTAAAACTAAGTTGTTTTTTTTGCAATTGTGGATGAGATTTTTTTGCATTCCTCCTGACTAGATTTGTTAAGATATGAAACAAATCAACCTGCTATTGCTGCTTCTAATTGGCTAAAATGCTGACATGGGAGCCAGGTAGGGTTGGGAATGGATAAGATTCACTAATCGATTCTGTGAAACGATTCGATTACTTACCGATTCTCTAATCGATTCCGTTTAATAAAAAAAGCATTACTGTACAATAAACTCATCTCCTCCTGATTGAAATAAATGAGCGTTACCTTTCTTTGGCTCCCTGAAATAGGGAGCAACTTTGTAGCATCATTTTGTTACATCCATTGCAATAGCTAGAGTCATGTAATAATTCCAGCTACCAGTAGTTCTTATTAAACATGCTAGCAATGAAAGGCTGGATTAACGAGAAAGGCACACTCCCTTAATAACCCCAAAGACAGGTAGGAAATGGGTTTATTTCCAGAAATGGCATCTGATTTACTAGGAACCACATTAAGCGCAGCCAGTGATAGAAAACGAGCTTTCCATGTTGGTTGTAACTTTAGCTTCTTTCCAGAAGCATCAAAAACAAGGCAATCGTTAAACTGTATGCCATGTTGTGTGCGCAGGTGTTTCTGCATGGATATGTTTCCTCTCGCAGATATAATTGCCTCTTTGAAATGATTGCAAAGCGCCTTGTTGCAATCGTGCTCTTCCTTAAAATGAAGCCAAACTTTCGATCGGTTTACCCCGATGGGACGCCATTTTTTTGTTTTGCTTTTCTAGACTTATGCCTGGTCACGTCGTGTTTTCTTACTGAATGTCGTGTGCGTAATTTGCTGCCCAGAGCGGCTCTGGTGCTGCCTGGAACCGTAAAGAGAATCGTTAAGCGAACTGCCAAACGGTGCCATGGAATTGGAACGCACAGAACCGGTTCTGAACAGGAACCAGTATTTGATTCCCATCCATAGAGGCAGGTAACTAATCGGCTCAAAGAAGCCAAGTTAGAATAAAAGCTCAACAATCAAAAAACCTGAAGCGTTCATTATTGGGTCCAGGAGCCAATCAGCCTCTTGGATTTGTTTTATTTGCTTTGATTTAGAATCTAAAATTAAAATTTGCATATGTTGGTGTGTGAATCTGTTTATTAAAGGTTGATTAAATATACCTAAAATACAGAGAAGCTTATAAAGTGCTGCAACAGTACAGACAATTAACCATTTTACCAAACGAGCCAAAATTAGCTTTTTGCAACTTTTTTCGTGATTTTAATTTCTTGTCTAATTAACTATTTACAGTCACTATCTCCTTTTTTTTACTTTATGAACAAGATACATGTATTACAAAGGTTACTTTTATTTATGTTACACTTTGCGTTTGTTTTTTTGTTTTTTGTTTTTTGTTTTTACTTTTATTTAAATCAATTTTGCACTGTTAACGTCTTATGTATTTAAGTAAATTTGATCTAAATCAATGAACATTTAATTCTGTGATTTCTTTGTGTAATTTTTACATCTCTGCATAGCAACAAGTAGTGATCTGGTGCTTTAACAGGTCAAATGTCCAGAGGGGGGGGGGTTCAAACAGATTCCAGGGGGTTTCAGTTCCCCTGCAGCTCCTCCATTGTTTTCAATAAATCACCTGTAGAGGGTTTCTAGTTGTGTTTTTCTATCTCCCTATCTTATACAGTATCTCACAGTTTGCTCCTAAATGATTCCAATAAATTATTGCCAGCTGATAACAAAGCTAGAGTGATAAGATCAGTAATAACAGGAATAGATTGATGAGAAACTTACTTTCAGAGACAGACGAGCAGAAGACGGTTTTCATCAGCAAAAAGTGATAAAATCACAGCATCAGGCATCATTGTGAACTCTGAAAGCTGCTGCTACAGATATAATCTAAATAGAAAATCCTCTAAATCTGTGAAACTAAGAAGATCCTCATGTTTTAGCTCACTGTTAAGTAAGGCATGTGTGCCGATTCCTCCTTTGTTCTCCCAGGATGACTAACAGCTCTACAGTACAGTGAGTCCTTCCCTGAGAGGAAGCTGGTTTTTACTTGATCATGACTAAACACTATGACTCCTCCTTTGCTATAAACTGCTGTTCCCCATTTTTAGGAATCTATTTCATATAAAACTGCCAGTTTCTACCAACTGGCATCATTTTTGACTGGCTGTGAACAAAACCAATGAGCAGAAAGAAAGTTTTTTGCATATTTCAAACTAGACTTAGCGAGATTTTATTTTGTAATTTTGTACACATAACTGTATACAAAAAGAAATTTCGTTTAGTACAGCTCTCTAGAGTTTTTTTTTTTTTTAAGTGCAAAATAGATGTAAACATACAACTGTATAGTTACAGTTACAACATTTCAGGGTGTTGTATATATACACTCTGAGGAACTAAAATTAATAAAAACAACAAAATATGTGAGAAATTAAATTGAAAAGCATTTAATGCAAACTATACACATATATAATTAATTAGTTGTTTTAATGTCTTATGTTTTGCAGATTTTAGAACAAAACAAACAGAAAAAAAAAGTTTTTCCTATTTTTGTGCCAATATTAAAGAAAGTTGGTTTATGAACACAGCCTCTGCTGCTTCTGTTAAGGGAAAAAAATAATATATTTTCACCTTTAATATATAATAATAAAACCCTCCTCATCAGGGAGATATAATCATGATTAGATTCACAACACCCCCCTCTAGTGGTAAGATGTCATACACCATGTACAAAGACGCAAGCAAATGTTTTTTTGTTTTCTTTTTTCCCCCTAAAAAAAATAAATTATTTGTAAATCAACAATTAATCAGTGATGTGTCTGAGTAAAACTGGATGATGGATTTAAGATTTATATTTGTGCAAATAAGTTTTTAAAAGTTCAAACAAGGAAGCAGGAAAAAGAAGTGAGCTGCATTGATGCAGAGTGGGAGGGTTCAGAGCATCAACAGTCACTCAGACAATCATTAAGACCACAGAAGAAGGAAATGTCTCTGCAGGGTCTGCTCTGTGAGTAGGAACTCGGTTCAAACTTTACCTTTTTTATTCTTTTACTTTCTGATTGGATTTTATCTAAGGAAGCAGAAACAGGTTTAAACTCCAGCTAGGTCAGGATTAACAGTGAGAGAAAAGCAGCAGATTATACCATGATCCATTAATACCATTATATTAATCTTAATAACTACATGAAAATGTGATCATATGTTTATAATTTTCTATTAACAGCATTTAAAATAAGTTTTCTAGTTTCTAATTAGGATAAAAACTCAACCAGTTTGTTTCATCTTACTACCCTTAATACTGTTATGAACTTTCTTATCTAAAGAAATCCATTTATTGTCTTAATTGTAGTATAAATTCACCAAGTCTGAATCCCCAGAATAGCACAGTAGTGTCCCAGGGGTCATAGAGGGACATGTAGGGCAGCAGCAGCCTGACATGGATCCATGCGCTCCCAAATTCTGACACGACCATCTGAACATTGGAGCTTAGATGGAAATTAATTTGACTATTTAAGGTTGCTCCATTATTCTATTGTCCAGTTTTAATTAGCATTTGGACATTATAAGTTAATTTTCTTGTTCTTTTCTGAGAGTAGTAGTGGTGATTAGCTGCTGTGGCCCAAATTACCTCAAGGTTCCACTTCAGAGATGATGTTCATCCTTCTGTGGTTGCAACCAGATGTTATATGACTTATTGTTTTATCCTGAACCAGTCTGTCCATTGTGCTCTGATCAAGAACACCAGAACCCATTACTGTCCACAATGCTGCTGCTCCGTGTTCTTAGTAGACAGTTTTGTGTGATCATCATTAAAACCAATCAACATGTTCAGAAATATTGAACAGTCTGTGCCATGTCTAATGTTCAAACTCCTCCTGATGTCCTATTTGAAATTCAGCTAAAAGGCATTTGAGTTAAACATGAATGTTGTTAAAATAATGTTGGTGTATGAAACATATTGATTCAAAATCAAAACATAGTTCAAACAGTTGAAGTGGATTTGTTTTTGTTTCATGACCATTATTTCAACACTGATTAGATTTGCACTCCCATCTAGATCTGTAAAGTTCCAGGTTGTTTTCTAACCAAATAAGTGAGAAGAATATTCTTAATATGATTAGATTGAAGTGTTATGTTTTGTGGTGGTTTGCAGTTAAAATGGTGGTTTAATCTCACGCATTCAATGCATGCGACATCTTTGCTTGTGCATCTGAACAAGGCAGCAGATCTAACAGACTGTTGCTAACAGAACATTTTGGCTAGCAAATTTCGTAATACTTATGGTTAAGTAATTGATTACCTTACCAGCAGAACATTTTACCATAAAAGTCATTGAAGAGTAACCAGAGAAATGTTAGTGGTAAAAAAAAAAATAGCTGCAGATTTCTCAGCAACAAAAACATCATAATTTATCTAATATGCATCAATCATTCTGCTTTTAGACAAAGGGAGAATTTCAAAAAAGAACAGAAAGGTATGTAATAAAATCGGTTAAACTGCTGCCACGCTGATGGCTGTCTAGATACGGCATTGGGGCCTGGTTGGGAGCTGCCTCTTTCCTGGTTGCTGTCAGGTTGGGCCTGCGCCTCCTGGCACTATGGGGTCTCTACTAGGGGGTGATGCACCCCCAGGTATCAGACTTGTAGGCTGATGTCCCATGGCTATAATGAAAAGGTCCAATGGTCTCGCTGCCACAGCCCCATGGAACCTCGGTACTATGGCTTCTGAGGTCAGGCTCCTCAGGGACTTTGCCCCTTTGGGATTTGGCTCCTCGGGGGCCGGGCTCTAGGTGCTCTCCTTAGCCTTTCCGTAGTGGCTGCAGTGCTCCATATGGCCCTACTTGTGTCCCAGTGATAGGGTTGCCTTTGGATATCTTTCGTGTTTTCATCCTGGGCCCTTTCGGGCGACTCTGGGGCCGCTCACACCTGCTATTGAGCATATTTTACTTTTCAAGAAGCTTTCTAAATCCTTATAAGCATGCTCATGCATACATACCACAGGAGTTTGGTTTCAAGTGTTCACGGGTACGTGCTAATACTAAATACTAAGCTGCAGCTATGGCAGCATATTTTGCTCCTTGTCAGAACAACAATTGGGCCTGACTGTTCTTTGTGTAGACCAGACCTGAAGAGTTTCCCACCTGCTTTATCAGGCAGGTTCACAAAACCCTGTGTTCAATCTGAATGGCACGCAGGAAGAACAAACTCACTACGTTCAGGTCCTTGTTAATTGTAGGCAAGATGCAGTCTGATTTGGCCAGTGAACATAGACGCTTCAATGGAGGGGTTTTGGTGGGTATGGCATAGCCTTAGCTGAAAACCGGCTTGTGTCTATCCTTTCAAGGCCCAAGAGCCACAGGCAAGAGACAGTTGAATGGAGTTGGCTGCTTAAGGACACTCAGTTGCAGGGATGTGATATCAGGGCTAAATCTGTTGGTCTTCGAACTCTTCTGGCCCTTGGCTGCACCTAGAAATCCTGTTCATAGCAGGTAGCCCTGCCAGAGTCTAAAATGTACCAGGAACATGTCTGACATAATGCTGGCAATGCAGAACAAACTCTCACTTGGCTTGTTCAGCAACCTGATGGTGCCTTGTAAAGGGCCCCTGAATCCGTACTCCTGTATCGGCAGGAAAGACATAATTTAACCTCCAGGTCCACAAACCACATGTGGAATGATTGGGTAAATTTCCATTAAACCCTCTACCACCATGCAGATAGTGCAAAGCTGGTCCACTGTTCCACTACCAGGACAAAAAGTACTCTGCTCCTGAAGCTGAGGTTTGACAACCAACCAGACTTTACTCCCTAGCACCCTGGTATGGGCCCTCCTATGAAGGCCAAGAAGTGTGATCTAGTCCAACACTCCCGGCCTGCCAGTCCAGAGGCACTGTCCCCAAACTTCACCAGATGTTTAAGAGGTGTGTCAGCCATGACAGCCTGACAACATCCAGAGATCTAAGGTTCTCATGGTGGATCTCATCCACCCCTGAACCCTTGTCAATATGGAGTTAGGGGTTTGATGTTTTAAATGGATATTAAATTTAAGTTATAATTGTTCAGCAGAAGTGTGTTTTACTTTACATTATTTGTTTTTTTGATGAATAACTGTTGTTCTATTTGTTGTTTTCAAAAAAAGTACCAAAATCTAAAGGACTTTCATGATCCATTGATGGATGGGGGAATGGGCCTTTCTTTCACCTCTAACCCAGCATGTTTTTAAAAAATTCAGTTTATGATAGCAGATTATACTTTACATTACTAACTCCATGGCATAAGCACTGGTCAATGAGAGCTTTAACCTGTTTGGTAATCTTCTATTCTTCACCAGATGTCTGTTTTCTCTGCAGTTCTCAACTCTCTGTTGTGGAGTCTAACAAATCAAGGTTAGTGCATTTTGTTTGGGATTAAAACTTTGACAAATTTCTACAGAATATATATGCTTTGATATAGAACCTCACAAAATTAAGTCATTGGCCAAAACAAAAAAATGGAAATGTTACCTACAGAGTAACAGTAAGATATAAATGTTCCATTAGCCCTGAAACTTAGATTATATGTAACAATATATAATAACAAAAATAAAGCCTTATTCCTTTTAATTCATAATTCCCCCTAGCTGCTCTGACTGTGAGTCCCAGCAGATCCCAGTTCTTTCAGTTAGAGTCTGTGTCTCTGAGCTGTGAGGAGAACAACAGCTCTGCTGGATGGACTGTATGGAGGAACACAACCAGAGAAACCAGGACTCAGTGTGGAAAGGAATGGGGGAGACGAGCTGGATCTACCTGTAACATCAGCTTGATGTTCCTGTTGGATACTGGAGTTTACTGGTGTTGGTCCAGAGAGGGAGCAGCCAGCAGCAGCATCCAGCTCACTGTCACTGGTAAGATCAGACTGTGGAGTTAGTGTTGATGAAGCTGTGTGGAAATGGATGAAATGCTGTAGTTTGTCTCTGTGTTGAGGTGGATCAGTGATCCTGCAGAGTCCTGTCCTCCCTGTGATGGAGGGAGATGACGTCACTCTGAGCTGTCTAACAAAGACCACTCCCTCCAACCTCCCAGCTGCTTTCTATAAAGATGGCTCCCTCATCAGGACTGAGCCCAAAGGTCACATGACCCTCCACCATGTGACCAGCTCTGATGAAGGCCTCTACAGGTGTAACATCAGTGGTCATGGAGAGTCTCCATCCAGCTGGATCTCTGTTGAAGGTCAGCAGCTTCTCTCTCTGCTTCAACCTTCATAATGAGACAAAAACTAAACTAATATGTTTGGTTTATTTTAGGGAAAGCCACCACCACTCCTACACCTCCACTCTACTCTTCTATTAGTCCTACATCGTCTCTTTCTGCCATTATCTTCCCTAGCCTTGCAGCTGTGCTCTTTGTACTTATGCTGCTGTTACTGGTTATAGTGGTGAGACGACAAATCCAGAGGAAACATGAAGGTAAAATATTCCTTCATGGAAGGATTCTCACTTCTCTTCATTATTATGAACGTTTTTCTGTCTTGATTCAAATGCAGTAACTGATTCTTTATGTTTACTGTAGATCCTGCAGGTGATATTTTGTATAGTGTGGTCAGCGTTTTCCATGGTCGACAACAACCTGTGAGCTGCAGTGGATGTATGTAATATTTGATATTTTATCTTCATAAGGTTCAGCCACTGTATCAAATCAGACTAAAGTTCAAACATTATTTTATTAGATGAGTTTTAGTCTTTTCTTCATAATATAAAGAACGTTTATTCTTCTTCTATTTTTTCCTGGATGAAGCTTTCAGTATTTTAACATTGTTTGTGTCCAGAAATACATGTTTAAGATAACAATTTAAAAATAATAATAATGCATCTTTTCTCCTGATCTGTTTGTTTTACAGATCGTCAATCTGAACCAGAAGTCATCTACTCCTCACCGAGATAGTTCGCTAATCAAACCACATATGTCCAGCTGATGGTCCAACCAGTGCAACACATTATGTAAACAGTGGCTAAACAAGACTTTGATCCTTTTAATGCTTTAATCTGTTTAAGTCTATGTCATGATGTATATATATATATATACTTAGATAAAAATACAAGAGTCAGAAAAAAGAAGCTTCAGATTGAAAAAAAAACAGTGAGAAGTCATCAGTCTACAGGAAGTTTAACCAGGCCAAAGATTTCCCAACAGGAAGAAGAGAAGAGAGGCTGTTCTATTTTCTAGACATGAGAAGGTCGACCTGTCTGAGTTGAAACACAAGGGTTTAGTCACCAAACCATCCATCCATCCATCCATCCATCCATCCATCCATCCATCCATCCATCCATCCATCCATCCATCCATCCATCCAGTTCAATCAGTTCCAACATAGTGCCAAATCACAAGTCATTTCAAGGAGCTTTATTAGGAGGATATTTCTCTCCATGATGCTGTCATAGCCAAAAAGGATGATGAAAAGGGGTCCCTATGTCCTCCAGCACTCTAAGGCTATAGCAGCATAACTATAGAGATAGCTCAGGATAACCTGAGCCACTCTAACTAGAAGCTTTATCAAAAAGGAAAGTTTTAAGCCTAGCCTTAAAAGTAGACAGGGTGTCTACCTCACGGACTAAAACTGGTAGTTGGTTCCACAGGAGAGGAGCCTGAGAACTAAAAGATCTGCCTCCCATTCTACTTTTAGAAATTCTAGGAACCACTAGTAAACCTGCAGATTGAGAGCGAAGTGCTCTGTTAGGAACATACATGTAATGTATTGTCTCAAGACTTGACATCCACATCCAACATCTAACTGGGCATGGGAACTCCACAGGGATGTATCCTCAGTCCTGTGCAATTGTTGTGCTGATTATAAACACAGTAGGATTTCTGTCAGTGACCCAGACCCCAACTGACAGATTGTTGCGCAAGTCTCATGTGTGGTTGTTATTGGAACAATTGTGTGAATGATGTCACCCACTTCTGTGTTGTTGTCCTTGTCAACAGCACACCACACCCACAGGTTAACGGTAACCAAACTTTGATCTTCTGATGACATTTCCTGTTTAAATGTCTGTTAAAGAGGGGAAGTTTTCAGTTTTCTGTGTATAGGTATGAATCATCTTGTACATTTTAACGTATTGTTTTGCTAGGTAAATAATTAAAAAAAATTCAACCAGAGTGATCATGACATTTTTCCAGCTCAAACTCCCAGTGTAATTGTCAAACAACATGTGAAAAAAGCAGAGGGTCTCTTTTTGTAAAAGTCCACCAGGTTTAAAGAGGAAAGACAAAGCTGCTGTAAGTTAAAGAATCCCCACAACAGAAATGATTGATCCATTTATTTTAGTCAAGACAATAAGAACCAGATCAGGGCAGAAGTTTCAGATAAAATTCAGTCTGAAGAGGAGAAACAAAGAGAAAAAAAATGTTGCCTGAGGTCAATCAGAGGAGGGAGTGGGGTTAGGGAAACAGCTGAGGCCATCTAGTGTTTAAAACAGGTAAATACATGAAGAACTATTAAGTGGGTTCTTTGCACAGCTCCGCTACTTCCTGTAAGTAAGGCAGCTCTTTTGTTTCCTGTCTTTTTTCTACTGGAATAACTGATTAATCCTGGTGAGCCTGACCTCAGTAACCATGGCAACACTCTGGATTAATCAGTTCATCTAGTAATGAAAGGCAGGAAACAAAAGAGCTGCATTAAGTTCAGGAACTAGTGGAGTTGTGCATAGAGCCCATTCATACACTGCAAAAACTATCTATAAATAAGTAAAAATTTCTTAAATTAAGTGTATTCACCCTTAATTTGTGTAGGTACATGAGATAGATATGGAATGAGTAATTTTACTCTTAAAATAAGAAAATTAGATAATATGCACTTGAAATAAGACAATGCAATTGTGTTTTCTTATTTTAAGTGTAAATTGTCTTGTTCCATTGGCAAAATGTCTCTTTTACCTCCTCAATCCAAGAACAAATGCACTTATTTTAAGAAAAAATGACTTACCGGTATCTAGATTCAGATTTTTTGCAGTGTAGGATTTCCTCCAAACACATTATTAAATTTATATCTATTCCTCCTTTGCAAATTAGTGGCTCAGAAGGGTTAGTGGTTTTCATTAAAGGTGAAACCCATATAAGACTTTTTTTCTGCTCTTAAATGTGAGGGATTCCTCTAGCAAATATTTAACTCTCCTGATTAACATTGATGATGTTAAAAGTGCTTCACCACCACTTTGTTTTCTCTATCTTCTCTCCTACCATTTTCTGGCTCTATTTCTTTCTCTCTAGTCCCCTCATCGTCCTATCTGCACCTCTAAAACTAAAGGAAAAGGTCAAAGCCTCCCCCAAACATATGTATATTGTGTTGTAATGTCACATTTCCACCACTAGCTGGCAGCAAAACGTTGGTTTAGAGGCACATGCATCCATTATTCCTCCTCCTGGTGATAGAAGGAGCAGCAGCTTCATAAACTCCACATATTCTCAGTTTTAACAGCCCTGGATGTTCAGGGGGTCATTAAATAGACAAATACAGAGAGGTCAACTTATTCATGGAGAAATACTTCAAAATGAGCTGACCTGTTTGTGAGATTTGTATGTTGAAAATGAAAAAGAATAAAAGCTTTATTTTTACTATTTAATACATTCAAGAGATCAGATAACTGAGCCACCTTTAAATTAGCCACTCAGTTTATTAGAACAAGATTGATGGAGTGAGTCAGCTGACATCCGAGCTCTCAAAGCAAAGATTTCAAGTAAAACTTTTAGCAAAAAAATACGTCAGGCCCAAATAGCAGTGGAGGATCCATGGTGCTGTGGGCTTATTTCTAATCCTCAGACAACTCTGATGTGCATGACATCGTAAACTCTTTTGAATGCAGATAAATTTTGTACACATAAAGCAGACAATAGGTCATCACTGAGCAGGAACATGACCTGTGGTCTTATCATGTGGGCCTTTTAACAGCTGCGATCAGACTGAGAACATGTAAACGTTTACATCTCCAAAAAAAAGGAGTGGTCACTTTTTAAACTATGTTATGAGAAATGTTATCTGGAGCATTCAAGCTGTTGGAGGTTTTGGTGCAACAATATAATTGCTGGATGTTTTTCAGAAACAGAAACCCAAACTGAAACAAAGAGAATCACCAACCGAAATGCAACAACAAAACATGATCCACACACCTGCTCTTAGCATCATTCTTTAGTTTAGCACCATGCCTCCATCTGAAACAGGAAACAAATGCTGACCTCAGAGCCAATAACTGAATACGACCGAAAGGGTCCGACAGCTCTCAGCAGAGAGGGAGACTTTAATCAGTTCTGAAAATAAAAACTTTACTACCGTATGGATTAAAGCTGCAAATGATGCAGTTAATCACAGATGAGTGAATTTTTCATACCATGAAGCAGCTGCAGGATTCCATCATATACAGAAACATGATGCCTTATAAACTGTTCAGCATGTAATTAACACTCCTTATAGATATCTACAGAAACACTAAAGAGGCCGACTGTAGCAATATACACACATGGATGTCCTGCATAAGAAAAGGCTAGGAACATTGAGATAAAAGAGAAACTTCAATTGATCAGCTGCCTGACTGGGTGTAAACTCTAAAGCCAGCCTGTTTCAGAGCTGAGGGCCACAACAGAAGGAGCTTCTGTGGCCCCTGGTTATTAGTCTTGGTTTGGCTTCTTTAATCTTTAATAATCTATGTTCCCACCCTCACCTATAGTCATGAGATCTGGGTAATGACCGAAGGGACAAGATCACGAATACAAACAGTCCAAATGAGTTTCCTTCCCAGAGTGGCTGGGTGCATCCTTCGAGATCGGGTGAGGAGCTCAGTTACCCGGGAGGATGTCCTATAGGGAGGAGGCCTCGCGGGAGGCCCAGGACACGCTGGAGGGACTATTGTCTAGGCATTTCTCCTTAGACTGCTGCTTCCACGACCCGGCCCTGGATAAGCAGAAGAAAATGGATGGATGGATGGATGGATGGATGGATGGATGGATGGATGGATGGATGGATGGATGGATGGATGGATGGATGGATGGATGGATGGATCCATCACACCCATACCCAATGTTAACGAGGCAAATAAAGCATGTGATTCCCTTGTAAATCTGTGACTAAGGGTGACTTGATACTTGGGAATGTAAAAGAATATTAACATGGTGATGCTGACAGATTCCCAAAGAAAGGGACGGTCACCAACCTTGGTTTGTTGAGCAGCTCAGTACTGCACCCAGAACTAAATAGAAGAAAAACATCTTTAAATGAGATAAATAGTAAATTATTTTTTACATAGGACAGTTTTAGAGATTGAATATAGGAAATTAGAATAATCATTATTAATAAATAAAACAATACAACATCTAGCTAAAAGCTCAAGCAAACTTCTTCTGGATCAAATAAAAGCATCAGAACCTGCGTCTGATTAAGCCAGTGTTTAGGAGAAAGTGATGCCACAAATAAAACAGAAAAACAAAGATGGAAGGCGCTCAGGGAGTGGGGGTAGAGCTAACCTGGTCTGGAGGGTAAAGCTGGCCACTGTGACTCTCTAAGGATTGAAATCCACTTTAACTATAAGCTTTATAAAAAAAAAGGAGAGTTTTCAGGGTTGCATTAAAATTAGACAGAGTGTCTGCTTAATAAGGCCTATGAATGGTATATTCTTGACTTTCTGTTAATTACAGAAACTTCTACATAAACCAAAGTTGGTTTCAAACAGTGTTTTATCTGTTTGAGGTCCTTACCTTCCTTGACAGATAAAGTCTTTAAACGACTGCTCTAAACTTCAGGATTATTGTGACGAAGGGATCAGCTTTTGTTTGTTTAGAACCGGTCCAGCAGTCACTTCACTGTTTTGAAGGAGAGCATTTTAAGAAAGCTGTGAGTCAACTTTGACCCACAGAGACCAAACAAACCTGTTCATCTGGATGACATCGTGATGTCAGGAGGAGCGTGAAAAACACACTCAGTCTGCAGATATTATTCTGTAGGATAGGTTAGATGGTGGATCTTCCTTTGAAGAGCTGCTCCTTAATGTTCCAACATTCATCACATTTTATTTTCTCCATTAAAACCATCACAGGTTTGAAAAATCACTATAGAAATGTGGTTTTAAAGGAAAAGTCCGGTCAGCAAGGAATAATCAATGGATCATTATTTATACCTAAAACTAATACATTCGCAGTGAATTTAAATTGCGGACCATTATAATCCAGTCTTTTTTTTAATGGCAGATATCAATATCAGATCCGGACATCGGCATAAAACAGTGAGTTGTTTTAACAAAAACTCCAAAAGCAATGTGGAAAAATAATATCAGAAAACTCCAAGATCGTAAACAAATCTAAATGCCCTGATAAGGAAACACTTCAGAGTCTGGCTAATGGCTGACTGATGATTGAAGATGTGAGCTGCTGTTGATCAGCTCGATCAGACTGGAAGAATGTCATCTGTTGCCTGCAGGGTCAGACATTATTCAGACCTATGTGGAGTCTCTGGAAAAAGAGGCCTTTGACTTCGAAAACAGGGTTTTAATATAGAGGAACCCCAGGGGTTCCAAGGACGTCCTCGAAGGCTCGTCCCTTAAACATGACCTGGAAGAACATCAGCTTACAGCCTGAAAACGCAGGTTTTTACCGGTTTAGTGTTCTTGTAGAGTGTAAGGCACTCTAAAGATCTGAATCTTTAAAAATGAACTGATAAAAGTGTTCATATTTTTATGCATCTGGATTTCAGTTGCTGATAAAATAATGATGGTTGTTCCTCAGGAGGTGAAGATTGGTTCTGGGTCCCATTGGGCTCAGATAGTGAATCTGTTCTTAATGCAGTGCTAATAATTCCCTAGGTTTTTTTTGGAACATAAACACATTAGACCTTCAGCTGGCCGAGTTCTGTTCTCCACAGACAGCCTCAGGTTCATCTGCAGCTGTGTGTCCATGTGGAAGCTGAGGGCAGGTATGTGTTGGACCATGTGGAAGAACTTGGGTTCTTCTTCATCTGAATCATCAGCTTAAAACTCAGAACCACAGAGTCCAGTGAAATTCCAGTGAATTGCAGAGGTTTCTCACAGATGACTAAAGAATGTGATGGTTGTTCCACTCCAGCAGAAACAGGAGCTTTTGGTTGGTAAACTCAGACCCCGTTTAAGCAACTCTTCAGTTTTTGGGGGGAAACTGAAGAGTTTCTACTGTTGGTTTAACCATAAATGCATCTTCCCTATAAATTGCTTCTACAATCCCAAGGTTTAGAAACATTAAAGTCTCAGTTTCCATAAAGGCAGCAGAATTGTCTGTTAAAGTGGAGCCGAGGCAGTATGACCTAATGATGGTGTCTTTATAAGCGGGGACAGTTTTTACCCATTAAAATTTCTGGTCTGATCCTTCTGACTGAAAATGCTTTGAATCCTCTTTATTGGTACTGATTAATAAAGAGTCTGCAGTCTGGATCCATTGTCCTCTCTTCATCCAAAACTCAGATTGGATCATTAATCAAAGACAGATCAACAAACTGATCAGCTATCATATGACATCGATCAATGGAGATGCTTCTGGTCCTGATGTCCTCTGGTTGGTCCTGGACTGAGCTGTCCCTGCTGAGGAGACAGAATACAGAAGATGTTAGAGCTTAGGGCTTTGGAAAGACTTCATTTTATCGAGTGTCACATTTTAAGGCTAGGTTTAAAACTTTCCTTTTTGATAAAGCTTATAGTTAGAGTGACTCAGCTATATCTATAGTTGTGCTGCTATAGGCTTAGGCTGCTGGAGGACATAGGGACCCATTTTTCACCATTCTGCTTCATTCTATCTCTATTTTCAAATTATGCAGTAGCTTCATCTGATCTGTTCCTGTTTGGCTGTGACTCCATCCTGGAGAGAAATATCAGCTGTGCTGCTGCCACCAACACCTTTGTTTATAGACGACAGAGTCAGGCCTGTTTTTTTGGTGTCAATGACTTTTTTTGGACTAAAATGGGACGAAATCAGACTGATTAAACACAGTTCAATTTAGAACAACTATTTCTGGACTAAATCAACTATGATGGACCCAAAAACCAAAGTCTAAATGTCTGGCATAGGTCACTGAAAACCCTCAAAACCTATTTTTCGCCTTCAGCAGTTTCCTGATTTGTATACATTTTTTAAAACATTTTTTCAAATCTGTACCATCTAATACTCCAACTATGAACAAAGAAACCTTTGACAATAAGTTGGACTTTTTTAACTCTCAGGACGTATAAATCCTTTGTGACTGAACATCCATACTCTCCACAGTCTCTCATTGTGGGACGTTTCAATGTCAGACTCAGGTCTCCGGTTCTTAGTGGGTCGTTATTCATCTTGGTTTTGTTTCTTCTCCTGTAGAAATCATGCTGTTCTCCAGGTTGATCAGAACCATTCTTATACACATGGGCAATCCTGCTCTCTTTGTCCAACCAAATCACTTCAGCATCTCCTGGCAGCCCAGGCGTTGTTATGAATGGCAGCTGAACATACTCCGCCCCCTCCTTCACCACCACCTGATGGACTGAGAGAACGACAAAAGAAGATGAGGCAAGGTGAGGAATCAGAGCCTGGATCCTTTGGTTTTGTCATCTTTAGTTTATCTGCTGCCGAACCAAACTCCATGACAGACTCTCTGACCTTTGACGTGGAGATGGATCTGTTTCTCCATCAGGATGCTTCCCTCCCTGCTGTAGACGCTGCAGCTGTAGGTCCAGCTGTCTCCATCTGTGGGGTGTCTCAGAGTCAGACTGAGGTCTCCGGTTCTCAGTGGGTCTTTATTCATCTTGGTTCTGGTTCTGTAGAGGCAGTACTGTTCTTCAAGCTGATCAGATCCATTCTCATACACATGGACCTTGGTGTTGCTTCCGTCTATCCACTCCACTCTAGCGTCTGCAGGCAGTAATGGTCTGGTCTTACAGGGCAGCAGGATAGACTCCTCCTTTGAATCCACCACCACCCTGTATTCTGAGAGGAGAAAAAAGGACAGACAGAAGCTCTGATGGTCACATACATGTCTCTGTCTCATGTTGGTGTTCCCACGCTCTAATTATCATTCATCTTATTCACCAGCTCCAGGTGCTTTATACAGGACTCAGCCCAGCTATGGGGGACAGATCATTATTCTCAATTTTTCATGTTAGTTTTTTATGTTTGTTTGTTGTTCCATGTCCTGACTCTTGGGTGCCCGCGTGTCGAGAGGGTGTTAGTGTTTGTCTCCTGTCTCATGTTCGTGTCCCAGCTCTGCTCCACATAGCCCTCTGGTTTTAGCTCGGAGTGCGGGGGAACTCCCTTTAAATTCCCATAATCCTGGCTTCTAGGAGGAGTACTGTTTAAAGTTCTGCAATTATCCTGGTGCCATGTCTTGTCTCTGTCCCTCTCCACCACTGGGCCTGCCTATTTCCATCTGAGCTAGCTGCTGGACTCATTGGAACTCTGAACCTGCTTTCACGCTCTGCGAATTACTGGAGCCATGGATCTGTCTGTTCCTGTTTGTTTTGGAACCCCTGGTTCAGGCTACGGACTCCTGGATCTCAGAATGGTCCTGTTCTGAACTGTTTCCCTGACCTGGATCGGTCCTCTGCTTGTCCACTGGGTTTGCTTCATTAGGGACACTCTGGATGGCTCAGCGCCGCATCTCGTTGGCAGTACATTGGCTGGATCCTGCCTCTCCCAAGAGGATGAACTGAACTGTTAAACCAGGTGAGTGACTCACACCAATAATCATCTTCTGTCAGATTATTGTGGTCCCTTACCTGTGTTTCTCCCTGAACCAGAGTGCCAGTGATGGATTGTGCCCTGCGCCACTCGCAGTCGCTGCATGTCCCCTGATTCACAGCTCTGCGTTCCGTTTCTATTTTGTGTTATCATTTAACAGGTTTATTGTCATTAAACATTTTGAAACTTCCCACTGTCTGACTCGCCTGAATACTGGGCCCATTGGTCCTGTTTTATGATAGAAAGGATTCATACGCTCAGAAAGAAAGCGGGTAATTCAGGCATACTTAAGACCAGCTGTAAAGATATACTACAATTATTCAAACTTTTTTGATTGCAATATAAGAAACAACAAAGTACTAAAACTCAGCTAAATACATTAAAGCATCACTTTATTTGTTTGGATTACATCATCAACCTGATGTAAAAATAAAAATTAATCACATATAGCCTTAAATGATAGTAAGACATCTGCTTTTTCTCATCATAGTAGCTTCATCTGGTCTTTTCCTGTTTGGCTGTGACTCCATCCTGGAGAAAAATATTAATTGAGCTGCTGTGATCAACAACTTCAACCATGGATAATGGAATCTGACCTGTGTTTCAGAGTTTAGTCCTGTTTCTCTACTAGAAGTAGCCATAGGATCGTCTTTGTCTGTGACTAACTCTGTTCTCTTTTAATCTCTTTGACCTCAAACCTGGGTAAGAGATCATCTGCTTAAAGGTTTATTTTTCAGATCTAATTTAGTGTTATTTTTTCTAACATAGAAACTGTTTATTGAACGGTGCTCCTATGTTCCTATTATATGTCTGCTTCCGCCAAACTGATATCTACCTGCTCCACATGCTCATCCAGGAGGAACAAATGTTGTAAAGTCAATGACTGGATGTAATCCACTGGTTTTCCATAGTTAGAACATTTCTAACCAGTCTGGCTGTATGACTCCATTGAATGATCTCTGTAAACTGACCTGTGAAGACATTTGATGTGATTTTCTGTGATTTTAACAAACTGAAGTTAATTAAGTTAGTTTCTTTGTGTCCTCAACCAGACGAAGATATATGGATCTACTGAGATCCAGCAAAAGGTTCTTCAGAAATAAAGAGATGAACTATAGAGCCTAAGATCCTGATGGAGACGATTAAGGTAAAGACAGAACATCAGGCTATGATCATGAGTATTATGGGTAATGTAGTTTTTCAGACTCACCGGACAAGTAATAGTGCCGAAAATGATATAAGAGAAGTGCAATTGAACTTAGACCAAGGAAAACCAGCAGAGCTACAGCCCAGGATGCAAAAAGATCTGTGGAGACAAAAGAAGAAAAATGGATGGATAGATGGATGTATGAATGAATGAATATGCTGATGAAGATTCTCAGTCATCCAGGTCATAGTCATTCTGTAAAAGTTAAAAAAAAAATTCACTGGACTTGGTTTCCAAGATTTGAAGACGTTTCACTACCTCGCTATTTTTTTCGCTATTTTTTTTTACTTTTACGGAATGAATGAATAATTGAATGAATGAATGGACAGATGCTAAATAATTTCTCTTCTGCTTCCAGATCTTGATGTTTCAGAAGAACGGTCTCATTAACTGACCTGGTGGATTCAATATTTTCAGATGCTATAATCTGATCTGATTAGTGGAAATGATTCCATCCATCTGGATTAATTCAAGTTTCTTCTGAAAACTCCCCTTGACTGATGTTCTCAGAAACCCTGATATTATTGACAGGTTGCAGACATAACTGCGGTCCAACCACACACAGCCGACTAGATCCAGGAAAACAGCACAGGGAGGGAACAGCAGGGTCACCTGGGCAACTGGAATTAAATGCATGTTCCCAACAGGAACATGCATTTAATTCATATTAACCATAAAATATTAAACTTTTTTCTAAAGGCTATCATAAAGGTCCCAATGACACTGTGCGCTACACTAACTACAGTAGATGAATCAGATCAGTAACATTATGGCACATTAAAAATGTCATTTTATCGAACCAATCCATAATAAATAGAACACCTGAAACTCTTTAATTCTAATTTAATTTAAAGGTTTCCACGACATTGTAAATTCGATACCATGAGAACTTGGTCAGTTTTTGAGGTCTAAACTGGTACCAGCTCGGTTCTGTCCCACATTATCCTCTCAACTCTAATCTGAGATGTTTATCTGTCACATCAAGAACCAGGAAGCTGATGGAGGGTCTGACCCAAACGTAAACAGACTCACCTGGAGGAGGAGGAGCTACATCTAGCTGGACGGTGTGGACAAGTTTTTCTTTAGCTATTCTGCACTGGTACGTTCCTCTGTCATCAGTCCTCACGTTCTTCAGAACCAGAGAAACGTCTCCATCTGTAATCTTTCTCTCCTGCAGAGCTACTCCGTTCTTAAAGTAACAACGCTGGCTTTGTGGATCAATCCGATCATGTTTGTACACCAGGATATATTCTGAGCCCAGATCCACTCTGCTCCACTCCACGGCTATGATGCTCCTGTTCCCATGAGCTCTACATGGCAGAATGATGTTCTTTCCAAGTTCAGCTGTGATTTTGATGGTTCTCTGATCTGCAGTAGAGAAAACAACACAGAGCAGAAAGATACAAGAGGTCAAAGTGGACCGCTCTGCTTCCTGACCAAAGCTAGGTCAATGTGAAAACGACACATCAGCAAAAACTGAAACCTTTAGAGGATCTTAACTGACTAAAATATCCCTGAGGTCAACACATTGCCTCTCATCCCTGCAGCTCATCCAATTCTGCATTTTGACCAATAGAAAAGTTCAATAAACTGCAGAAAATTATAGCCAGTAAAACAAAGCAGAAGGTTAAAAAAAGGGGTCTCCCTCTTCTTTTGCATATTCTCTGCACTTATTCTCATTTTACAGCTCCGGGGTTCAAAACTGCAGCATTAAATCCGAATCAGAAATACTTTAATGATCCCAGAGGGACATTATCTTCGCTACACGCTCCAGATATACAAACTACATAATACACACGTTCATCATCTAAAGAAATAAAATACAACACAAAGACATATATATATATATATATATATATATATATATATATATATATATATATATATATATATATATATATATATATATATATATACATATATATATGTGTATATATATATATATATATATATATATATATATATATATATATATATATATATATTTTCTTTTTTTTTAAAGATCTAAAAAAACAAAAAAGAAAACAAATGAATCGTAGCTATTGATCATAAAAACAACTTTCCACAATAAAGATAAAAATATAAATACATACATATGTGACTATATATATTTTTTTTTTAAACAGATCTACAATGAATCGTAGCGATTGATCATAAAAGTTCCATTAATCAATTAATTTGACAGAATGTATCATATGCAATATTATATAAACCACTTTATATAGCATAAAGTTTTACTCTAAATATATATTTTATTGATACTGAGTGGATATCAATATTTAATTGATCATTCTTAAGTTGATTAATTTCCCTCTGAAATTGATAAAGCATTTTTGAACTGAACTGGTTTGAATGATGCATATAATTGTTATAATAACATTGAAAGTAGGACAAAATATGAGAATCCAGGACGCTTTATGTTATATTTACCTCCTTTGAAGAGTAAAACAATAATAATTTCTAAAGATGTCACTCTTGTAAAGAGTAAAAAATTTTGGAAAAAAGAAAAGACTAAAGAAACAGAAGCGTGAGGTTCAGGTTTCATTTATTAAGGATTTATAGATTTAGACAGTTTCTCATCAGGTGGCCAGCAGAGAGACAGGGTTTGTTTTTCAGGAAGGTTACGCGTGCCACTCGCAATATGGCGGCGGGATCGTGGTAAATGGTTGTTATCGACAGAATAAAGTCATTTTAAGGCAAACATTCTTCCTGTCTGTAAATAACTGTGAACAGTTGACCTGTCTGAGTCTCACCTGTAGAAGCAGCCTGGAAGAAGCAGGCGGCAGACAGCAGAGCCCACAATGAAGCAGTCAGTAAGGGATTCATTTCCGCTTTGAGCCGATCTGTTTCTCTGAAGCTTCATTCAAACATCCACAACAGAGAAAACATAAAGAAAAATCATTAAAGTTGAATTAAAACCTCCGAGCTGAATCGGATCAGACCCAAAGGAGCGGATCTGTGTTTCACTGCGAGCTTCAGCAGAATAAGAGCTGAAAAAGGTGGAGCTCCTCTGAGTCTGTTTCTATTTTTACACCATCAGCTGAAGGGAAACTGGAAATAGACTGATTTGAAATCCTGACATCTGATGCAGGTAATGTGAACACACCTATAAACCACAGAGGATAAGAGAGAATAAGGACAGAGGTGGATAATTACTGATTACATTAAGTCAGTTACTTCAATAACATTTTGAAAATAATAAATACATAAAACATTAGGAGTACTTCTACTGTTCCATAGTTTTGATTTTTACTTGAGTAATATTCTTGTTAAGTCTCGCTTCTCCTGCTTGAGTAAAATCTCTGACTTTTCTCTGTAATTTGAACTAATATCAGATAAACATCCAGTAAACAGGAGAGGTGTCAAATGTTTCCATGTTTATTCCTCCAGTAGTAGAAATCCTACTTTCTAAAAACACCTTTTTGTAAGTTTGAGAGTCAACTTAAGCTTTTTAGTCTAGTTTAAAACTACTTAAAGCATTAAAGTTAAAGTAATGCAGGAAAAAATGTTAAATAGATGCTTTAAACCTCATGCTGGTTACTGCTCTACCCTAATTAAGGAACATTTTTCTACAATTCTGTATCATATCTGCATTATACTTGTTTTTCCTAGTTTAATAACTAATGGTAACTTTGCATCAACTTAAAAAAACTATTTATTTCTGTATGTGGCCAACAACGTGTTCCAGATAAAGAAATTGTCCAGATGAAGCAAATTATTTTGATGGTTTTTATTTGTTCTTAATGCCAACAGGCCGTAAAGAAAGTGCTTAAATGAAACCAAAGTGTCAGATTTGGTAGAAGCTTTGAGTTTTACTGATTTTATAAAGTCTCACAAGCAACTGAGGCAAAAATCCATGAAAAATATTGAACAAAACAAAATCCAATAAAAGTCAGAGGAGCAAGAGACGAGGAAGCAAGAAAACAACAAGAAACCAGCACTGAGTGAAGGCTCTGCTGCTCTTTAAATCCCAGCGCTGATGAGGCTGATGAGATCCATCTGGTAGACTAACCAGGTTCACCACAAAGATCCTCTCCTGAGGAGATGCAGAACTCACACACAGGAACCCTGACACCAAGAGTCTACTTTAAAAATTTGTTTACTGTGTGAAAAGCTACTAAAACTTTCTTCACCCTGTGTGTAAAAATGACAGTAGACAATAGTCTAAGTCTAAAATGTAAGGAGTAGAAAGTAGAGATATTTCTAAATAACAAATTCGAGGAGTAGAAGTAAAAAGATGTCTAAAAGAAAAAGAAAAAAAAAGACTCCAGTAAAGTATAGATAGGCAACATTTCTACAAGCTAAAGAACTTTGTTACTTGATACCAAACTGTAGATATTATCAGTGGAAGTTATTTATCTTGTCCCAAAATAAAGAGAGTTCTCTCTGTAATGATTGGTTCTCTAAGTTTTGTGCGGGAAAGAAATGATTTGGAAAAAAATATTTCTTCTCCATGGATTTGTTCTTTTATAGTTATGACATTTATTTGTTTTCTTTATGCATTTGAGTCTTAAAAATACCAAACTTGCACATAAAGTCTGTCAGTCTGCATCATTGCAAAACATTAAATCAGATTTTACTATACAGCAATTATTCAGAACTCAAGTTGCCTTTTTACCAAATAGTTTTAACTTTACTCCAGTAAAAAAGCATTCTGGAAAATGATGAATAAAATAAAATACTTTAAAAAACAGCAGATAAATCAGTGACGGAAGAGATGAATTAATATAAAATCTGACATCTAACTAAATATGTCTATGAAACATAAATAATAACAGATTATGATTCTCAGTATAAAGAGGACATTTAGAAACAGATGTTGTTTTATAAAGGCAGGCTTTAACCTTCCAGATTCAGACTGTAGCTCTGAGAGTAGTCCAGATATTTTATAAATGCAGGGCAGAATTATTCTGGTTCTTAAAGCAGAAAAAGGATATTTGATGATGGTTGTTATCTAGTGGATTTTCTACATGTTTGTTGATTCTATATCCTCATTTCTTTCTGTTTTGGCGTCTTTCTCCATTTATTTCTTCTATTTAGAATCAGGTTGCTGCCAGTAGGGGGCAGCATGGAGTCAGACCTGCACCAATGATGTTTGCCTGTTGCTCCTGGATGTGAATAATTAAGCAGAAACTCCTCAGCAGCTTTTTCTAAACCCTCCAGCTGTTTCTAACAGTCATCATGTTCTGACCTGAAATGTTCCTGACATGTAAAGTCTAAATGATCTTTATCTGTTCTCAGCAGGGAGGAGCATCAGTTCATCTGGAGCAGAGCAGCTCTGATGTTCCTCAGAGAGAACAGGACTCTGGAGTTGTTCTCAGAAGCTCTCCTCTTGTTCATCTCCTCAGAGGTTGGTCTGGTTCTAAGTCTTAGTGGAGCAGAGCTGCAGATGATGAACTGGTTCCAAACATCTACAGATGTTTCCAGAAGGTCAGCTCAGCCGGGAGCTGCAGGAAAACCCAGCTGGAGCTGAGATGCTCCAGGATGAAAGACATGATGCAGTCAGACATCAGTGAGGACAAAAACAGGATTTTATTTTCAACCACAGTCACTATCTGAAGTTATATGTACATCAGATTAGATCTGCTTCAATTAAAAAAGGAAATTGATCTTCAAGGTGTCATGGAGCAGCTGTGTCTCTGTTCCTGGTTGCTCTGCAGGTGATTTGTCCCTGATGGACGTCTCCTGTCCTCACTGCTGAGTAAACTACAGATGTTGACATTTCTGCAAAAGAAAAGAGTCGATTAGAGCAGCTGCTGCAGCTGGAAGACTGTTCTTAGTCTGCAGGAGCTCAGAGCGCTGATAGCTCTGATGTCATTATTTAAAGGAACAGGACAGTCAGAGTTACTTCATGCTGATTGGATGTCAGCAGCTGCTCTTTTTTAACTGCTTTAAACAAACTTAATGTGTTTAATGTCGGTTAGTGAAGCACAAACATGATCTCTGCTGCAGAGGGAAGAAAACAAACCGACCCGCCTTGAGAACCTAAATAACCGCCATCAGAGCTCATGGAGGGGAACTCTGACACCTCAGAGTCGGTTTGACCTGAATCTAAACATCAGGCTGCTTTCGACCAATCAGAGCCAACCAAAGTGGTGCTTGTCTACACCACTGACCTGTATTTATTCACTGGATTGTTAATGGCCGAAAAAACTGAACTCCCCTGCCGCCATTTTAGTACTCCCCACTCTCACGAAGAGTACAATTCTAATACACGTGTAACACTAATATCTATCACACACGTACACGCACAGTGTGTGTGTGTGTGTGTGTGTGTGTGTGTAATATTCTTGATATTTAAGTGCAGTATTATTATGATACATTAACACATTAATTCTGTTCTGATTGATTTGTATAATATGTTCTATTTCATGATTTATAGACTTTATAATGACTATGAAATGTGATGGGCCTATTTATTTTATTCTAAGTTAAAGTTAATCTACTGATGCTGTGAAACAGCCAATGTTTTTTTAAAGTGATGAATTTATCTTTATTTTAAAAGTCTTAAGTCCCCCTGAAAATGAGAAAATCATAGTTGTTTGATGCTGTAGCGCACAGATTGTTTACATTGCGACCGGTCTGACTAGGGAGTACCAATATGGTGTCTGGTGGCTTCACCCCACCCTCACTGAAAAAAATAATGCAACTGTTTTTGGCAGTTACTTAATCATATTTAGTTACTTTAACACAATAATTTCATGTTAGCGGGATAGGAAATCAAACAATTGTGTTAAAGTAACTAAATCTGATTAAATAAAGGCCAGAAGTGGTTGCATGAGATCAGTGGTCTAACCTCATTAACAAGCAGCATGTTTTAACAGCATCAGACCAGCAGGTCTGCTTCTGCAGCTCCAGCCTACAGCTGCAGGGTCTCATCAAAACCAGGAAGCTGGACGACCACAGAGAAACTCCCAGAATGAGCAAGAAGAACAGCAATTTCTGTTAAAGATGGCGGCATGAGTGTCTTTATGTCCGCCGCCATGCTTTTATACCTTTCTAAGCAGTGATTTAATAAAAAAGGACTGAACTGTTTGAACTGAGGGACTTTACAGATTGTCCAAACTGAATGAGATCCACCAGAACCGCAGGGGGACACAGAAGCTCTAGAGATGGCTCTCCTTTGGCCACAGACACAGAGTAGGCATCGTAAACATGTCTGTGGGGTGAAGGCAGCGGGATGGGCTCCGTTTCTGTCTGGATTTAAAAAATATCCAAGTTTATTTATAACTCTGTACTAATAAAACTAATACTTATAATTTATTCTGATGTCTCAGCTGCGTGCAGCCAGATGTTAAACCCAATACTGACTGTTAACCTAAAAGGTGAGTACCCCTCCATGTGGTTTATTGGAACCGTTGGTACAGGAAGCCACACGGCCTCCTTCCTATGACACAGTTAAGGCATTAAAATGCTTGACCACACTTCCTGTTAAGACAAATAAATCTTTATATTTAAAACTAACAAGTCTATTTTTTAAATGTAAGGAGAAGAAAGGAGAGATAATTGCAAAAAAGAAGAAAAAGGTTTTCTAAAAAATAATTACTCCAGTAAAGTATATAATGCCCCAAATTCTGCTTAAGTAAAGTAACAAAGTATTTGTGTTTTTTTACTTTACTTCTCTGGTCTTAAGATTCATTCCCATAAAAGGAAACAAAAATGAAACCGCCCCGTCTGCAACTGTCCAGAGCTTCCATCTGTAAAACGTTTCCTCCTCTAGAAAACGTTTTACAGACGGTAGCATGAATGCTGCTTGATTCAGCATTTATGTCCAGACAGATTTCTTATAATAAACTGGGTCATTTTATATTTATTTAAGATTACATTTTAGAATAATCTAATAGCACAGGAGTATTTCAGGCCTCAGGGTGTGAATACTTTACTCTTTGATTTTGAGTCTATTATAAATGTTACATGGAAACATGGACCGATCTGACTGTACTTTGACTTATTTTGACAGGCTTAAAATGTAAAGTTTCAGCTGCAGAAACTCCAGGATAAATATTAAATGCTCAGTGTAAAGAACAGTGGAGGATTCATGGTGCTGTGGGCCTGTGTTTAATCCATTAATACAATAGGAATGCATAAGCAGTTTAAAATGCAGATCCATTTTTATACTAATACTGTGAACTCAGAAGCTCAGTGAAAATGGGTCATTACTGAGCAGCAAGAGGATCTGAAACTTGTGGTTTTATCAAAATGGCTGTTTGGGTTCCATCTAATTCAGGCATGTCCAAAGTCGGCCCTCGAGGGCCGCTGTCCTGCAGGTTTTAGAGGTTTCTCTGCTTCAGCACAGCTGGTTTCCACTGATAAATGATCAACAGGCTTTTGTTGAACTGCAATAATCAGAATCATCTGTGTTGAAGCAGAGAATCCTCTAAAACCTGCAGGACAGCGGCCCTCCAGGACTGACTTTGGACACACCTGATCTAAGTAGTTCTGTTAGTGAAAGGCTGTTGTAAAAGGTTTTACCAGCAGGGGGGGCAGAGCGATGTCTCTGAGTCACTGAGTCTCAGCTCTGTCTTCAGCCATCTGCGCTCTGAAAATCACTTGTTCCTGATGGACGTCTTCCTTCCTCATTCTGGCGTAAACCGAAGTTTCTAAGGAATAAAACACAGATAACCACAGCTGCCACCAGACTGGAAATGTGCAGAAGTTTACATCTACTAAAAAGAAGTGGTCAGAATATTTTAAATCAATGAGACTAAGTTATCTGGGGCATTTTAGCTGTTTGGGGTTTTAGTGCAACACCGTTTGCCCACTGATACCAAACCCACTCTGCCAAGTAGGTCAGACCGTTTGTAATATTCAGTCTGACCTTCATCAAACCACACTGAGATGAAAATTGGGACACATAAATGTATTGTGTGATGAGATAAGATTAGTTCTGATTTTAACTAAGGAGGACAATCCTAGAATCAACAACAGTGAGCTGAGATCCAATCAAACAACATCAAAGAGAGGGACTCTTAGCAGGTACATCTGATCAAGGTAGACCACTGCTCTATTTCCATCAGACCTATGCAGTTATTTCACAGTGCTGTTATCAATCAGACAGGAAGAAATAAAATACATCTGTTTTGAGCACATACAAAGAAAGATGTCTGATTAGCTAAACCAGCCAACTTGGCCCCTATCTGGAAGAAAAACACTGTTTAAATGAAGCTGAGGGACACTCTTTGATATACGCAACCATTGAAACATTTTGGTAAACAGTATGTTTAACTCAGCAGTATGGCTCTTCCTGCTCTCGCTACTTAATAAACAATACAGGTCCTTCTCAAAACATTAGCATATTGTGATAAAGGTTAATTATTTTCCATAATGTAATGATAAAACCCGAACATTCATATATTTTAGATTCATTGCACACTATCTGAAATATTTCAGGTCTTTTATTGTCTTAATACGGATGATTTTGGCAAACAGCTCATGAAAACCCAAAATTCCTATCTCACAAAATTAGCATATTTCATCCGACCAATAAAAGGAAAGTGTTCTTAATATAAAAAAGTGAACCTTCAAAATTTATATACAGTTATGCACTCAATACTTGGTCGGGAATCCTTTTGCAGTCCATTCACCTCTTCTGGTTGTGCAGCGTTTTCTGCCACACTTTTTCCTTCCCACTGAGGTACCTTGATACAGCAGTAGGGCTGGGTACCGAACTTCGGTTCTTTTATGGTACCGACCGAAATGCTTCGGTTCTACAGGGTATCGAAACATGCCTCGTCTTTCGGTACCAAGTTTCGGTGATTGGCTGTAACACTTAACGTGATTGTCATTACATTATGTAAAATAATGAACTTTATCACAATACGTTAATGTTTTGAGAAGGACCTGTATGTGACTGATCATCCTCTGCCAAGCTTGAAGAATAATTTTGTCTAACTATCAAGATTTTCTTTCTTGCAATTCATCAGAGGTAATGCAAAACATTTTTTAACTTCTACAAAAAGGAATCCCTAAATTATTTATAAAGAAAATATTCAATTGCATACTGTTTATTTTTGGATAAAGAGCCTGATGAAAGGGTACTTAGACCTTTGGGTATTTCTCTATCATAGTTCTGTTTTCAATCAATTTAAATATTTCATCATTTTAGTAAACATATTAAATTTATTAGAGCCGTTTTTCAATATGTGTGCTTGTAGATCTCATGTGCTCATGTTCTTATGACACTTCATCAGCCTCATGCCTAGTACTGTTCCAATTCACAAGAAAAAGAAGACCAAGTCCCCGGATGTTGTTCTCGCCACCTCCCATTTTACCCAGCATGCATCAGAGCAGATTTGCTGTTCTTGAGATTTAAAGATATCCCAGCATGCATCGCGGCAGGAGCAGCTTCCAGGGGAGCACGCACGTAGCTCAGAGTATTAAGGTTCTATTAAAGTAGGTTTTAAGATCATTAGGGGTGAGAACGTTACACTTTAATGCATTTGTATATGGCCAATTTATTGAATTACTGTGTAAAAAAAAAAAAACGAAAAAAAAAAAACGTTTCGATGTTAAGAGGACCGTGGCAACCAGCGGACCTCCGCGGCTAACGGCAGCCAGGGCTAACGTTAGCCCGTCTATAGTAGCCCTCTCTCTGCAGAGCCATTTGTGAAGTCCTGCTGTTCTGATAGAGGTTTTTTTGTTTTTTTTGACAAAATGTTCATTTAATTCGTGTTTATCTGACTGTGTTAATCATTATTCCCCCACTAAATTAAAAAGTAATAATTTATTATTACCTACAGACAATTAATAACAGTAGGTGAAATTTAGCTCCAGACAAGTGGTGACGTAACGAGTATCCATCTGCTCCAAGTGACCCATATTCATGCTGTGTGCTCCTGTTCTCCCCAGGTCCAGACTTTCCTGTGTTCTTACCTGGTGAGGACACCAGTCCGTACTCGCCTTCTTGTGAATTGAGAAATGGCCTAAGACTAAATCTATGACGGCTTTAAAGAAAAAAAAACTGTGGTTTTACCTAACAAAAACATCGTTTAGATTTGCTGCATTTAATCGTCCATCTATTTTCTGTCACACTTATCCCAAGTGGGGTCGCGAGGAATGCTGGTGCCTCCAGCTGTTTATGGGCAAAATCAGTCCATCACAGAGAAACACAGAGACAAACAGGACAAACAACCATTCATGCACACTCACACCTAAAGAGAATTTAGAGAAACCAATTAACCTGACAGTCATGTTTTCAGACTGTGGGAGGAAGCTGAAGTACCTGGAGAGAACCCAAGCATGCACCAGGAGAACATCAAAACTCCATGCAGAAAGACCCCGGGCCGGGAATCGAACCCAGATACAAAGCAGCAGTGCTACACAAAGAACCTTCACAGCTGCATTGTTTAGAAAGCTTATCTGATATCTCTACTGGGTTTATTTTACTCCCATTTCAGAATAAAATCCTGCAGTTTGTGTCTCACCTTCATGTTTCCTCTGAATAAGCTGTAGAACCAGTAGAACCAGTAAGAGTAGAGAAACAGCAACATTAAAGGATGTGAAGCACAGGAGGGTATGGAGAAGAGACTGGGAATCAGTAGGACAGATTGATGTAGGAGGAGGAGTGGAGACAGGAGGTGGAGGAGTGGAGACAGGAGGTGGAGGAGTGGTGGGTTCCTCTGAAATAAACAGGAAGTAATTATTTAGTTTTTGTCTCATAATGAAGGTTGAAGCAGAGAGAGAAGCTGCTGACCTTCAACAGAGATCCAGCTGGATGGAGACTCTCCATGACCCCTGATGTTACACCTGTAGAGGCCTTCATCAGAGCTGGTCACATGGTGGAGGGTCATGTGACCTTTGGGCTCAGTCCTGATGAAGGAGCCATCTTTATAGAAAGCAGCTGGGAGGTTGGAGGGAGTGGTCTTTGTTAGACAGCTCAGAGTGACGTCATCTCCCTCCATCACAGGGAGGACAGGACTCTGCAGGATCACTGATCCACCTCAACACAGAGACAAACTACAGCATTTCATCCATTTCCACACAGCTTCATCAACACTAACTCCACAGTCTGATCTTACCAGAGACAGTGAGCTGGATGCTGCTGCTGGCTGCTCCCTCTCTGGACGAACACCAGTAAACTCCACTGTCTCTTTCTAAAACATAACTGATGTTACAGGTAGAACCAGCTGGTTTCCCCCATCCATCTCAACACTGAGTCCTGGTTCCTCTGGTTGTGTTCCTCCATACAATCCATCCAGCAGAGCTGTTGTTCTCCTCACAGCTCAGAGACACAGAATCTCCTTTAAAGAACTGAGATCTGCTGGGACTCACAGTCAGAGCAGCTGAGAGGACTAGAAAAGTGTTCAGAAGTCATTATTTTTTGCAGATTCTTCACAAACTTATGAATTAATGGTCACTACATTTTTAAATAAAAATGTTATCCAGACTATCATACAAATAAAATATTTTGCAGATAATAAAAAGACTTCAGCAGTAATCATCACTGACCTTGGTTGGTTATAAAACACAGCATGAAGCTGAAAACTACAGAAATAAAAACACTGAGGTTAGACTGAGGAAACAGCAATGTTTCAACTTCCTGCTATTTAATGTTAAATTATAGAATGTGACTGATGTGATCAGATAAATACCCAAATATATTTATTTTTAGTTTATTTCTACATCTGTCTGCTATTATAAAGCTACATTTCTTAATTAGAAACATGTGTGGATCAGATATTCTATTACACACATTTGATGAATCTAGACATGCTTTACTGAAATAAAATATTTGTAGTTCTTTTCAATAGGAAAATCTCTTCATGTGTTGAAATTTTAGTCTAACTTATTTTTTCTCTCTTATTTTAATTTTGAGAATCAATAAAAGCCAAAAAGTTAAAGAACTTACAAAGTAAATATGGTTGAGATGTTTTCCTCCTCATCCTCTCAGTGAAATAACTGAACCTTCTGACTTCTGTCTCGTCTCTCCTCCCCAGATAAAGACCGCCCTCTTCCTCTATGTATGAAACATTTTCCCTGATGCCTGGACCTATCTAACTAAATAATACACAAAATAATGAATAAAACAAATAAAACTAGGGTAACACTAGTTATACACACAGAGTGATTAAATTATTTTTTATTAATAAAGAATAAAAAGCTGAACAGCTCCCTCATCGTCATTTTGTTGTCAAACACATCTGTTTTTCATTAAATAGTTTTGTTCAGAGCTTTATGGTCCAGCTGAGCCATTATAGAGCTATGAAACTAGAATATATGTGGAAAAGTTATAAAATAGATTGAACTCTATGAACAAATAATTTATCAATAAACCCAGCCTGTTATAACCTGTATGTCCACCAGAGGGAGAAGTTTCTTCAAACTGCATTTCATTTCAGGTTGATTACCTGCAATCTCTCTCAGAAGCTCTATTTACATTGAACATGTATAGATGTATAGATTTAACTAACTTAGTTTCTTATTTCCTCGTGATGTTTATTGTCTGCCTTAATAAACATGTGAGGTGAATAAAACATCAGGGGGATGAATAGAAAACAGCATCAGCTGAATGGATGAGCTCCAGCTGGGGTCGTCTTCACAAAGCTGTCTGAACCCATTTCAGGAATGTTATTCAGCATTACTGGTTTGTTGTTGTTTGGAAATAATGGGTCTAATTGCTCATTTGTGTGTTTTTTAGATAATCTTAGACCACATGTTGTCATCAAAGTGGGCAGGCAGACCAATAGTATCACAGCTGATGCATCCAGGAGGTGCAGAGATACCTGAAAGAGGCCAATGATGCATCATCACAGGATCCTATGAGCTATAGGAACGACCAAAAGACAATCTATCTAAAACTTTTCTACTTTAGTAGTACAGACCCTCGTTACTCTCCCAGTTTATCCAACTCACCACCAGGTGGTCATCAACTCCAAGTCTCTCTTCACCTAAATACACTTAAATAGAAGTATTTACAAAAATAGAAACACTAAGCAGTAAAGCAACATCTAGAGAGAAAAACTTTGCCTTTAACCAGTTGACCTTTAATGGTGGATGAAGATGAGAAACTCAAAGAAACTGATGGTTCTAGAGTTTTACCAGCAGGTAGTGGAGAAAGTGGGACTCAGAGAAAGTTTAAAGTCTGATTCTAGTTTTCTAAGATCCATCTGCTCCATACAGTCCATCAAGCAGAGCTGTTGTTCTCCTCACAGCTCAGAGACACAGAGTCTTCCTCAAAGAACTGAGATCTGCTGGGACTCACAGTCAGAGCAGCTGCTGGAATGAAAAATTATTTCACAAGTCATTACTTAGGGACCCAGAGTGGCAGTCTCATTCCCACAGACTGCCACTCTGGGTCCTTGAGCAAGACCCTTAACCATGCTCCTTGGGTGCCGCACAGTGGCAGCCCACTGCACCCTAGGGGATGGGTTAAATGCAGGGAGTGAATTTCCCCATTGTGGGACAATATAGGGATTTACATTAAAATAAAAACATTTACAACAAATTAGATCTCAAATATAAGATTTTATTAAAAAGGATCATTCATTCATCTCTAGGTCAAACATTTCAGGTAAAAAAAAACATTACTATTAACTAACGGATGGATTTTATGTTTGAGGACCAAACTTTACATTAAAGACATAAAAATTGATTTTTCCTAGAAGTTAACAGGCTGAGATTCTTATAAAAACATTCAAAGTAAGTAATAAAGGGGAGATATTAGTAGGTGACATATTTAGATAAAACATTTCCTGAAACAAGTGATCAGATCTTATCAAAGCGTTAGTGAAGTCAGACCCTCTCAGCTGCCCACAGCCACTGTGGTTCTTCTCTGGAAGTTTCCACTGCAGCTTGTTGTTATCTGTGGTTCATTAGTGCATCAGTTATTTTCTATATTCTCTCTAAAACCCACAGAGAACATGAAACCACAGTTCTCAGCTATGACCGCCAAAATACTTTAGAGGAAAATGAAAAGACTAAACTGTGACAAAGACATAAACTATTTTATAAACACAGAGAAATGTACTGCTGCTTATTGAGATCAGAAAGGACATGAAATCATAAATAAATTAAATGAACAGAGTCTGTTGGATGCAGCAGTCAGAAGGCAGCAGCTGGAGGTCAGAGGTCAGATGGTGGACTACCTCACTGAGGAGTAGATGATGTCTGATTCTACTGGAAGCTCTGCAGAACATAAACACATTCTGGTTAGAAAACAACAGCTGCAGGTGAATTTAAAACAGCAGGAAGGTTCCAGTCTAACCTCATCAGTCAACATATTAGTCACTACAGTAAAGCAAGAAGGGGCTTAAAGCTGAGAGTTGATGCAGCCCTGCTTCCACTTTGATCCCTTTAACAGCCAGAGCCCCCCTCACTGTCTCTCCACCCTCATAGTTTTCCTTCACCAGTCTAGCATGTAATGCTACGTTCACACCGCACCGCTTTGGGGAGCAAAAAGCTCCTGCTTCATTATTGATGCTTGTCCACACTAAGGTCAGACGTCCAGTAAAATGTGTCCAGATGCTTGTGCTGCTCCTGTGTTCAATGACAGAGAGCAGCTTTGCTATATTTGCTGTCATTTGCTTTTAATATGTTTTTAAGCAATTAAGTCCACCTTAAAACCTTTTCTGTGCAGTCAGTTCATCAAGATTACAATCTTCCTTAAAATATTATTTCTCTTTGGGAGCTGCTCAGACCACATACCAGCAGTGCGCTGTCACATATATATCTCACTTTGAGCTGCAGACAGCCCACTCTCCGTACAGACTGTCCTCATAGTTAAATAAAGCTCCCATGATGCTTTTCAGCAGTTTATGTCAGGGATGCATTATTTATCTTTGCCAGAGGACGTTACACTTAGGACCACTACAATAGGTATGGGTAGGAGGCTGCCCTGTTTCTAACATGTTGACATGACTACCAGCTGGGTCAACCAATCCAACATCAGAAGCAGGCAGGCGCAGCAGTGGAGATTAATAAACAGATAATCCTAATGTAGAATTTTAATAGATTAATAAATTTCCACTATAATTGTTTGTGCTCATATTTAAACCTGCCAGAACCAGAAGTTGAGGAATAATTGTGACTGCAGGTATGGAAAGCAAAAAGTTCACATGTGTCAGGATTCCTGTCTGTGTATGTGTTTTTTCTGTGTTTATTTCCCTTCTTCCACCAGGAGCCGCCTGGTTCTGGTCCGCCTCCCTACACACCTGCTGTGAGTTACCTCATTAACGGAGCGCCCTTAAACGAATAGTACACCCAAAACATGATTAGCCTTCATTTTCTACTCACCCCCATGCTGAACAACACTCTGGAGTACTTTTTTGATATCTCAAATGCATCTGGAGATCTGGGAGGCTTCTTACTGTCTGCTGACATTCAAATAATGGAGGTCTATGGCGCCCGAGACAGAAAGGTCCATAAAAGTCCACAAAAAACGTGTCAATATTCCTCCACACTGCTCGTCCAATGTAATCCAACTGAACTGAATGATAAACATCTTCTGATGAATATATCAATTCAATTCATTTTATTTATATATGTTGGGATCTGGAGGTCTGTCCACCTTTCTCCAGCAGAGGGCGCCCTAGGTCACCTGGAGCTGAAGATGACTACCACACCTGCGGCTCGTTTGCTCATCAGGAGACCAGCATTTAAGGAGAGGCAGAGCAACACTCCAGTGCCAGAGTGTTATGCCAGTTATGGTTAGCAAGCCTGAGCAGACCTGCCTGTCTGATTCTCTGACTCCCCTGAAACCTGAACCAGAACCTAACCTGTTTTTGTCCTCTCTGCTTCCTAGGAAGAACCTGTCTGAACCCAGAAACTCAGGAAGAGTTTCTCAGTCGGAAACCAGCCTGTCTGATCTCCGAAAACCCCTGGAAAGTCAATCTGTCAGTAACCTGCCTACCCGCTCTCAGAAGAAACTGGAAGAGAAACTCAGATCAGAAACTGCAATATCAGAAATCAAGTCTCTGCCTCTACCAAGCCCTCTGCCTTCCT